CATTCGGGACGTGCACCGACTCGGCTTTAGGGGATAATCTGGATCGAGTCCGCTCCCTGCCTTCCTCGTCAACGGTTTCATGCCCCCGCGACTGCTTTCTTTTCTTGGGAACGACCGGTTCTTGCCCGTTCGATTGGGATGTGCTACGACTTTGGCCCAGCCCAACGTTTTCGCGGGGTCCTCGATTCGACTTTGTGTGAACGCGTGACGAAGATGCCATCGCTACGGATGCACTGGCATGTGTCTCGACGGTACTCGTTCCTGCACTACATGTAGGTGCAAACGAAGTAGTATCTGAATGCCCTAAGGGAGCATCGCCTCCAGAAGCTCTGCCATGGTCATGCTGGCCGGATGGAGAGAGTGCAACGATGGTGCTTTCCGCAGGCACCCTTGATGCTGACTGATGTAGTAACGCTGCCATGTAGTTCCGATCGTCGGGAGAGAGTGCAGCTTTTCGTTTGCCCGTCAGGTGGAGGGCGGACTTGTAGTATACGTTTACAGCTGCGCGATGGGAGGGTTGGCCGTCCAGGGTGGAAATGAACGCTTCGACTTCTCGTATTTTCTATCTGGGGAGTCAGAAGATTCCATGCTTCCTTGCAGCATCGACATACCTTGATCATAGCTAACATCGTGGATATGGACACTGCCTGCGGGCAAGTTTCGTCACCTGCCGGAGCAGTTGTGTGACCTCCACGCGCTATAGCGTCCGCCATCCTTGCTGATGGAGCGGATTTCTATTCGGTTGTGGTGCTACGATGCAACAGATGGGTAGACATTGATGAAGCCTGACAGCAGACGATCAGGTACGCGTGTCAGGGAAGCAACGACCCTGGTCAGCGCACGGGCCAGTCGGCCAAGCGAGATAGTCGGCGGCCGCCGACTATCTCGCTCAACTCACTACTTGACCTCGAAGATATCCTTCTCAATGGTAAGGAGAGAGGCATTAAAGGTACCATCGCCCAAGCCGAAGATCAAGACCATACGCTCGCCGGAGGTCTTCTTGTCGAGACCGTAGGCAATGGCAGGTGATCCCGAAACACGGTAACCTCTCGCAGCTTTTCTGTACCAAGAACAATCGTTCAATGTATGCATCAGACAACCTGCGCCCCATTTAGGAATATGGCGGGATTGTGAGTAGATGAAGCTTGAATTCGAAGCTGCCAGACTATGGCGGCAATGGGTCCCAAGCCCTTGCACAAGCCCCGTGAAATACCTTCTGATTCAGATCCTCTGCCTATATACCCATCAAATGATTTGGCAACACTGAGTTCTACTGAGTCCTATCTAGCTGTTCACCTTCGCAGTCTATTTGGCAGAAATCGGGCAAAAAGCGGAGGACTTCAGCCTCTTTGGATCGTTCCTTACAGCGGCCCACTTTGGTTTTAGCACTTGACAGTCTTGTATTTCGGCCTTGGACTTTTTACCGGCAGTGGTACGCTTTATAGGTTACCTTTCAAATACAGACGAAACAGGAAGCGCAATGTAGTATGGTTATACCCAGTGGCCAGTACCAGTGTTGAAAAGCTGAACCTAACCAGGCTTACTGTGATCTAGACATGATTTGCGGACTTCCGATCGCTGACAACTTTCTTTTCAACAGCCAAAAGGTTCACTAGCCGTGAATGTCTATATCACGACCAAGGGCCTCCATCCACGTCACTACACACTGCGCATCCGAGTTCAGCTTCGAACTGAACTCTACCAACGATGGCGCCCATACAAACCCCCTCCACGACCAACAATGGCCAATCTCTCTTCCACATCGAGTGCATCGCACAATATGTCGCGCTCCCACCTCTGGCCCTCAGCTTACTACTCCCAGCCCTCTGCGCCTTGATATTCTCCCCTCTCCTCCTCTCCTACTACCCGCCAGCGCGAGGCATCGTCCTCTCATACTTGAACGTGCAACTCAGCGAAGAACCACTGAAGCCGCGATCCTCGAAATCCTCTAAGCATTCCGCCTCCACAAGCACCTCATCCACAGCGCCACTGCTCATGCGCATGGTGGACGAATGCAGCAGCCCGTTCACCTGGGCGACCGCCGGCCTGCTGATCTGGCGCCCGGCTAAGAATGCCTGGATCGAAGGCCGCATCACGCACCAGGCGTCTACGCACATCACGATCTCGTACCTCAACGCGTTTCCCGTTTCCGTGCTGCGCGAGCACATGCCGCGCGGGTGGTCGTACCAGTCCGCGCAGACGACCTCATATAGCATGACGGGTGGGAGCCGGAGCTTGTCGACCGGGGGGGCAGGCGGCGGGAGAGGGGTACTGGGTTGATAGCGAGGGGGGCACGCCGTTGGGGGAGGGGCCGAATGGGACGGTGTCGAGGGTGAGGATCAGGGATTAGGATGGGAAGATGGATGTTGGGGGCGAGGGAA